GGGAGGCTCGGCCTCATGGCTCTGGCCACTCTCATCCTGTCCTTCTCCGCGACGCTGCTGCTGTTCCTGGGATACCTGGGCGTCCGGAGGAGACTGTCAGGTGGGCCTGTGGGGGGGCTCCAGAGGCACTGCTGGCTTCAGCCATATAATCCATCGCTCGACGGTTATTTCCGGTCATGAGCGCTTTTCAGAAGTGAGTTAAGGTGCAAACAAGTTTCACGAGGAGCAGGGGGGCAGATTGCACTCCCTGCTTCCTCCTCACAGAGCGAAAGGAGAGAGAAACCTGCGGAGAAGATGCAAACACGAAGAGAGAGAGGGGAGGGTGAGGAGGGAGAGCCGGTTCGACTCCCCGTGTCTGTGCCTGACCTGTTCTCTCTGCCTCCCCCTGCAGGCCCTGTCTGGCAGCACAAGCCCGTGCTGCTGGTGAGCTCCTCGGACTCGGAGCCCCAGGTGTCCGCGGTGTGCGCTCTGGCCTCCCTCCTGCAGAGGGAGCTGTGCTGCGAGGTGCAGCTGTCCCACTGGGCCCAGGGGGCGCTGGCGCAGCTGGGACCCGTGCCCTGGCTGTACGGGCAGAGAGAGGCCGTGAGGAGGGCAGAAGGCAGGGTGCTGATAGCCTGGAGCCCCGAGGGCAGGGAAGTGTACCAGCGCTGGAGAGGAGGTCGAGCTGGTGGAGAGGGAGGGGGAGGAAGAGAGGGAGAGAGGAGCAGCAGGAGACAGGAGGAAGAGACAGAGGGGGAGGAGAGGAGGAGGAAAGAGAGAGGAGCTGCAGAAGGAGAAGGAAAGGAGAAGAGAGGGAGACGAGCGGGAAGAGCGAACAGGAGAGGCGGAGAAGGACGGGGAAGGAAGAAGAGGGAGCAGGGAGCGAAGAGGCCAAAGGGGGCGGCCCGGAGAGCGGAGGAAGAGTGGAGGCTCTGTGCGGGAAGAGAGGGGGAGGAGGGGAGCGGGACCAAGCAGGGGCCCTGCTCTTACACCAGCCCGGTGCTCCAGGCCGCCCTGGCCTGTCTGCTGAGCGAGCTGGGAGGCGGTGGCGGTGGGGAGTTTGCCCTGGTGTCTTTCACGGGGCTCTGCCACAGTCGGGACATACCCCAGAGACTCAGCGGGCTCCCCCACTACCGGCTGCCCCGCGATTTCGGGAGACTGGTGGAGGAGCTGCAGGGGGGCAGAGGGGGCTGCCGGCGCTGCTGGGCCCGGCTCCTGACCAAGACCCTGGCACACAGACTGGCGTGCCAGCTGGCGGCGTGGCTGTGGTCTCCCTGGCGACAGGGGGAGCGGCACCGGCGGGGCAAAGGTCACCACGACCACAGGAAGGGGAAGAGGAGGAGCTCACGCCGGTGAACAGGAGGACAAGCTCAGGGTGCCACGGCGACAGGAGGCGTGGCCCTGACTGGCAGTGGGGCGGGGCTTCCAGCACGCGGGGGCGTGGTCAGAGAGACAGCGTGGTGGCGGTGGTCTGGGCACCACTCCCTGAGTGCTTCTGCACTGGACCACTGCAGCAGGACCCTACAACTTCAGCAGATTAGTGCTGAACTTCATACAGGAGGCTTGAGACAGGACGCTATCTGGCTATTTAGCCAGTTTGCTAGTTAGTAGTTGTTGTGGGGAAAATCAGAGGAGCAGGACACAGTCTTGTGCAGATTCAGTTTTATCGAGCTCAATAAGTCCAAGAACGCGCGCTGGGTCGGCCCCACAGAACAGACAAACTGCAAGGGTTTCCCAGCTCTTATATACAGCTAGAAGAAAGTTTGTTTCACGATCTGAGTGCTTGTCCGGTTCTTTGATATGTAATTCCTTCTTGTCCTGCTCTGTTGTGCTCTAGGTTCTGTCCTTTGATAGGCAGCAGACATTGGTCTGGTTTATCCTGTTTGTGGGTGTTGTTCCTGTCTTTTATTATGTAGAGTTAAGTCACTGGAGCTGCTAAAGCAAGTCAGCTTTATGGCATCTTAGCGTGACTTTTGTTGAAGGCTAAATTAACAGACCCCAGCAACACCTCTCACAATGTGCTTAAGTGGTGCTCCTTGCGATGCTGGATAAGTGAGATGTATACATGTCCCAGTTCAGTTAATGGATCCTAGGATCTCGTCCAACTGTCTTGGAAGAAACCAGGGTGTCGGCTTCAATAGCATGGCTGGGCAGTGTTCCACACTCCCACAACTCTTTGTGTAAAATAGTGCCTCCTGTCATGACGGGAGGATCCCATCCAATCAAACCGGGGCGTCGGCTTCAGCACCACAGCTGGCCGGCTGTTCCAGACCCCCGCCGCCGCCCGCGCTTGTGGCCAGAAGCTCCTCCTGTTCTCGGACTCACGCCGCTTCCTCCTGGGTTTTCTCTTGCTCAGAATGAAACAGGAACAAACGGGTGAAAGACTTACGTCAGCGGCTTGTGAATAACATCTCTCTTCTCCTCAATACAGCTGGTGAGATTCCAGCTGGCTCTGGAGCTTCATTCATCCTCGGTGCAGGAAAACTGGCGCTTCTATACTGACGCTGTTCAACACAGAACTGTCCTTCGGCCCCTGAGGCCTGTGTCCATTCCTCCTGAGTGCTCGCTGGAGAGAAGTCCTCCTGCTGTCTAGAAGTGTCCTCTCACTGCCCTGAGGCAGTCCACTCCAGCCTTCACAGGCCTGTTGCTATTGTAGACTGAGCTAACGTTTTATTTCTTTTCGCCTCTGTTGTAATGTGCCATGGCACGCAGTGCTGCCCCCCCCCAGGGAGAACAGAGACGCCTGGCCGGCTGAGAGAGCCGCTGTCGGGCCGGCCCAGGCCCGTTTCGGTTCCTGGCTGCGCGGGTCGTGAGAAGGAACTGTGAAAATGTGTTACATCTCGTCAGTCCAGGAATTCGGACAGTTAGTTTTGAAATGCACTGTCTTATGTGTGACTTTCCATTAAAAACAAAGAGCACTTACATCCATCGGTTTTCTGATCACTGGATACACGACAGGCTCATAGGGGGTGTCGGAGCCTAACTGGGCAAACAAGAGGCACAAAATGGGGTACACCCTGCACAGGACACACAAACACACACTCACACCGGGGCCAGTCGACCCACCAGCGAGTCTCTGGACTCTGGGAGGAACCCCACGGAAACGCAGGGAGAACATGCAGACTCCACGCAGACACCACCCTGGCTGCGGAATTGAGCCCCAGGGCTGTGAGCCAGCAATGCAAAACTTGCTCCCCTGCTCCTGTCTGGGACACAAACTGGTTTGGCAGATATGCATCTTCTTTAACCTCATGGAAATGTGGATGGGCCTGTGATGACTCACTTCCTCAATCCTAGGCAGCGCGTTGCTGAAATACCTGTGCGCGTTTCTCCTACACCGTGTGACGACTGCGGCCCTGCCTGCTGTCCTGGGGCTGCTTTGAAAAGTGGGGGGGGCAGGAGCTGGGAAACACTGCATACTCAGTACAGAAGGCCAGGAGTCAAATGGCTCAAAGTCAGTGAGAACAGGACAGGCGTCTTTACACAAAGGGTGGGGGGTGTCTGGAGCAACCACAACCAGCCGTGCTCTTGCAGCCGGAGGGATCTTTTCAGAAACAGCTGACAAGATCTTTGGATTAATGAGCCCCCTCCTAGACTGATCGTTAGCATTTCAACACATGGTGGCCACAGACATTGCCGTGACAGTAGGAAACAAATGTCAAATTAAAAACATAAAACCCTGAGTAACAGACAAGAACAGCAGTTCATTTCTTAGTTACACAGACGTCCTGGACAGATAAAAATGTCAGGGCAGAGCACATAACAAAGGTAATAAAGAGTTACAACAGGTTTTTCTCCCTTTACAACTGGAGGTACACAGCAGTAAAGGTTGTTAATGAATGAGCAGTCCAGCTGTTAACCGTGTGCAAGGAAATGAGTTTTGTACAGCTCCTGAACTGCAAACACAGCGCTGGTCCGCTTCTGTCAACAACAGGCTGATAAAGACAACGGTCCTTCTGTTGGGAGTCCCAGCTACAAGCAAGTCCTGCGGGGGACACCTGCGGGGGGCGTCGTCACTCATGAGCAGCCTGCCAGACTGGCGGGCCGACACCAACTGCCTCGCGTAAACAAGTCCGCAGGGCAGCCCAGCTGGTTGCCAGGCACCGAGGGCATGTGTTTCTGCAGGGGGGGGCTGCGTGTAGGTGGACTTCGGACTCAACTCATTCAAACGCAGTACCTTAGAAAACAAAGCGAAACTGATTTCGAAGGGAAGAATTTCATCACCACCTCCTTTATACATTCTTACCACAGGTTTGTGTGTGTGTG